GATGCCACAGCACTCTACCAAGGGTGACATAGTAAGACTCTGTCTCAAAAAAAAAATTCACATGCCTTTTCACTGTCTCTAGAACAGCAAAACCTTAGAAAAAACTAATCCCTGCTGCAGGTAAGAAATAGGGGAAACTCAAATGACTACTGTGAAGTCACTAAAAATAACTAGAGAGATGGTGTGAATATGCACAATTCAAAATTATAGCCATGCCATGATTACATGCCATGTGTATACAATTAAGGGTTAAAAGATATTATTAAAAATGAAGTCAGTAAGCCAGGGGTGGTGACTCACGCCTGTAATCCTAGCACTCTGGGAGGCTGATGTGGGTGGTTGACTCAGGAGTTCAAGACCAGCCTGAGCAAGAGAGAGAGGTCTCACCTCTACTAAAAATAGAAAAACCATAATCACTGGGCAAGAGACATGAATAAAACCTCTGAGAAAGACAGATGACTGGCTAACAAATATATGAAAAAATGCTCATCGTCCCTAATCATCAGAGAAATGTAAATCAAAACCACACTTAGATATCACCTAAGCCCAGAAAGAATAGCCCACGTCACAAAGTCCCAAAGCTGCATGTGGAAAGGGGGAAACATTTACACTGCTGGTGGGACTTCAGCCTGATACAGCCTCTTTGGAAAGAAGTATGGGGAATCCTCAAAGATCTCAAATTAGACCTCCCATTTGACCCCACAGTCCCATTACTAGGCATTGACCCAGAATAATAATAATAAAAAAAAGCTGTTTATCATAAGGACATTTGTACTAGATTGTTTATTGCAGCTCAATTTACAATCACCAAGATGTGGAAACAGCCTAAATGCCCGTCAACTCAGGAATGGATTGACAAATTGTGGTATATGTACATCATGGTGGTCTATCTGATACATGCCCACCTAGGAGACAAACTCAACTCAATTCAAACTGGGGGGAGGGGTACCGAGGAAGGGGGTGAGGTGCTCTCATTGAAAGGGCATGGAGGAGGGGTGTGTGGTACTTTTTGTGTGTAGGCTATAACCACAAGAGGGACTCTACCTAACAGAATCAAGTATTTTGATCTGGTTTTTTGTACCCTCACATTAATCTGAAATAAATTTACTTTTTGGAAAAAACAAACAAACAAACAAACAGAAAGACTGTCCAGGCCTCATAGAAGGCTACTTGGGAGTCTGAGGCATGAGGGTCACTTCAGCCCAAAAGTTTGAAGTTGCTGTGAGCTGTGACACCATAGCACTCTACCGAGAGTGACAAAGTAAGACTCTGTCTCACCAAAATAAAAGAGAGAGAGAGAAATCAATAGAATTGACAAGTAATATATTTTTCTTTAGAAATCCTATATTTTCCTGTAAGGCATAGGAGACCCTCCAGGGCTAATCTCATTCTATAATCACATTACACTTGGGTTTTAGCATCTGAGATTGTGACCACATAGCTAAGTCTTTATGAACAAGGAGGTTACATTGATAAAGGCTATTACACATATTTGAGGTACATAAAATCTTGAGGGCCCAAAACTGGAAATGGTAAAGTGGCAAAGAATAACTGACTAGCTGTACACCTTGTGCAGTACCCTCAGAATATTTGGGATTGCCCTTTCACTGTTTAATAACAGGAAACATTGAGAAGTCAACGTGAAAACCTGTTACAGTGGTAAGATGTTAAACCATAGGGATCAAAATATTCTTGAAATAAGGTTAATTTTTTTTTTTTTTGTAATTGGTGCAATGTAGAAAATAAAGTGAATTCACTTTATAAGGCTGATATTTTTACGGCCAAATTATCATCATAAATTAATACTCTAGGTAGCTCTATTTCAGTGGCTTTAAGTAACAGTAAGGATTGTAAAAGAACAGAGTTTAAATCCAGCTCCCTAAATGGCGTCTATAGCTCAGTGAGTAGGGTGCTGGCCCCATATACTGAAGGTGGTAGGTTCGAACCCAGCCCCACCCAAACTGCAACAAAAAATAGCCGGGCCTTGTGGCGAGTGCCTGTAGTCCCAGCTACTTAGAAGGCTGAGGCAAGAGAATCTCACCAGCCCCACCCAAACTGCAACAAAAAATAGCCGGGCCTTGTGGCGAGTGCCTGTAGTCCCAGCTACTTAGAAGGCTGAGACAAGAGAATCTCTTAAGCCCCGAGAGTTGGAGGTTGCTGTGAGCTGTGATGCCACAGCACTCTACTGGGTGCGACAAAGTTTGACTCTGTCTCTAAATATATAAATCCTAACAGCTACTAGGGTTTGGGGTATCTCTTTTCATACATATGAGCCTCAATTTCCTCTTCTTCAAAATGAAAATTAGAAAACTAGATACTCAAATGCGAAATAGCTATTCTTGCTATAACAAGGTGTGGAACCATAAAGCTTTCAAGGTGGACTTCTATTAAATCATTAAACAAAGATACTCAGGAAGGATAGGGATGCTCTGAGTGCCTAGAGAATGTTCTATGCCAGGCAAGCTGGGATTTTAAAAAACCTCTGCATTAAAAAAATATTCTGACCCAACCTGACATTGCCCCATCTCCTTAGCCATTCACTCTGGCATTCACTGGCTAAATCTTTGATTTATCCTCAAAGAAGAACAGAAAACAAGAAAGCCATGGAAAATTCAACAGTAACCACATACCTAGTGTAGAAACAACTCCTGTTTGTAAAACAGCTGTGGGAATTGTCATTGCTTTCCAGGGTTAGCAAAAAGTATTCACATATGGAACAGCTTTGTCCCTGAGTTGAATTAAGAGTCGTGGATAAGTTGAGGCTGGAATTTGGGTCTACTTTTCATTGATGAGACTCAGAAACAACTCTTGCTGTCTTAGAAATCTCTACTCAGGAAGAAGTAGCAGCTCTTGCCTTCCTGGATCAGAGCTGGAACATAAGCTGAATTTACTACTTTTTGCCACACGGAGGATCTTATGGAGTTGAACTTTGGCTATCTGCGGAAACTGCACTACTTAATTTGGACACATGCAGAATAATGTGTTGACATATTTGCATTCTCCTTATATACTCACAATCATTAAGACTATTTCAATTAGGTAACTCAGTTATTCATTTTTGGCTGCAAGGGCTTGGGCCAGGCAGAAAGCAGAAGTAGCTTAAAGCTCAGGGCTCTTCCTGTCTTTAGTTAAAACTTGAGCTACTGAAGTTACAGTGGTTCTCAACCTTCCTAATGCCGCAGCCCTTTAATACAGTTCCTGTGGGTCACAACCCACAGGTTGAGAACTGCAGGTTTATACAAAGTTCTGGAAAGATGAGAAATAATGTCTTGAAAATTGGTGATGGAGAAGAGACATCTGAGGTAGAGATCTGTGATCGGGTGGAAAGCTTACAGGTATTCACAGCACGGTTGAGAAAAATTCCTCACACAGAGATTAGGATGTGTAAAAGTGAAAAGTTTATCTTCTTAGAAGGAGAGAGGAAGGGAGAGCAAAAGAGAGTGGAGAGGGGCAGCGCCTGTGGCTCAAAGGAGTGGGGCACTGGCCCCATATGCCAGAGGTGGCAGGTTCAAGCCCAGCCCTGACCAAAAACTGCAAAAAAAGAGAAAGAGGAGAAAGAGAGGTATAGAGAGCAGGGAGATGGTAACACAGCCTCCCAAGGGGAGAGAAGGGACAAGCCAGCACCTGGGCCCAGTGGCTCAGTGATAGTAAGGGAGGCTGTGTAGCCAGGATCCGTGGCTCACGCCTGTAATCCTAGCACTCTGGGGAGCTGAGGCAGGTGGATCTCCTGAGCTCAGGAGTTCGAGATCAACTTGAGCAAGAGTAAGACCACATCTCCACTAAAAATAAAAAAAACTAGCCCAGCGTAGTGAAGGGCACAGCTACTTGGGAGTCTAAGGCAAGAAGATAGCTCAAGCTCAAGAGTTTGAGGCTACTCTGGGCTGTGATGCTACAGCTCTCTACCCAGAGCAACAGAGTGAGACTCTGTCTCAAATAAATAAATAGGACGTTTTAAATTGAAACTGGTACAGTCAACTGGTGCAGTGCCTGTAGCTCAGTGGGTAGGGCGCCGGCCACATATGTCCAGGCTGGTGGGTTCAAACCCAGCCTGGGCCAGCTAAACAACAATGACAACTGCAACAAAAAAAATAGCC